TTGTTTTTTGTTTTCTTTTTTAATTTATTTATTTTTATTTTTGTAATTTTTGTCAGATGATGGACATGTGTTTATTCCAAACATGTTTAAACTCAGTTCCTGATGATTGACCCCACCACCTCCACTGGAAGCTGGTTCCAAGCTTCCACTATTCTTTCTATGAAATAATACTTGTTTTCTTTGAAGACGAAAGTCCAGTTGAACAAGGAAGTCCAGTTGCCTCTTGAAAAAGCACCTTTGGGACAACCATGACCTGGATGACTGATAATCTCCATAGACAATACTTTCTAACATTACTTTTGAACTTCTTTCCTGTCAGTTTGAGATGATGCCCCTATGTTCTTGGTTTGTGCATAATATTGAACATACTGCCTTCTAGAACCTTATTCACATCCTTAATACATTTAAATATTTCAGACATGTCCTCCCTTTCCCTTCTGTTCTCCAGGCTGTGCATATTCAGTTCTTCCAATGTCTTTTGATATGTTTTATCCCTTAGACCTTGAACCATTCTTGTTGCCCATTTCTGGACTCGTTCCATCTTATCAGTATCTTTTTTTAAGTGAGGTCTCCAGAATTGGACACAGTATTCCAAATAGGTCTGGCTGAAGCCCTATATAGTGGGATTAAGACCTCCTTTTTCTTGCTGGTGACCCCTCTAGTGATGCATCCCAGAATTTTGTTTACCATATATGTGATATTTTTCATGCTTTGATGTACTGAATGACATAGGAAACTGTGATGGCAGTTATTAGTCCCATTTTAGAGAGATTATAAAAGTACACTGATGATACTACAAAGCACGTATAACTCTACAGTTCAATCAGGCTATATACATTAGTATTTTCAAGACCTAACATTTCAATCATCTATTTATCATCGATTTAGCAACACCCTGGAAACAAACTGTGCTGCTGAATTTTTCTTGGAACATGGTAACATAAAGGATCTAGCATAGACATGAATCCTAAAGAATTAAATAATAATAATTTTGTTTTTAGGATCATAACAACTGTTCAACTTACAGGCCAAAAAAAATGAAGAAAGAGAACAAAATATTAACGAAGTGAAAAAGTGAAAGAAAAAGTAAACCCAGGAATATTAACAGGATACATAAAGATTTTTTTTCAATGAAAGCATATGAAAATGCTGAGATTCAAATATGACTTTTTTTTTAAAATGCCAAAAGACCTTTCTGGGAGTACAGACTAATTACAGTGCCCAGTAATAAAACTGCTGCCACCCCAAGCTGTAAAGTTGATTATTAACAAGAGAAGGCTGAAAAATATGAACTTCTGAGAAGAGTTGTTTGGATCAATTTCCGAGACAGTGAGACCATGAGACTGTTGATGGGGTTAGCCCAAAATATATGTTTTTAAAAACAATATTTTAGAACTTTCCAAGGCTGCAAAAGCATATTTGGGGATTGTTTTAGCATTAGGGTTTCAGCACACATTAGTTTTTGCTGGGGTTATAAACCAAAAAACATACACTCTCCCCCAAAATCCGCCCCCCCCCAATATCTCAAGCACATGAGCCCTCAGTCCTTGACTCACCATCATACATCACATTCAAATGAAATCAGCCAGGCTTGCTCACTCTTTATTAAAGGGGTGGTCGTACAACTTGGCAGTGTGAAGTTGTGACCTTTGACAATTCATTTGGGGCAGTGTTAAAAGTCAGCAAGTTGTTAACTTTGCTTGCTATTATTATAATTTTAGAACTACGATGAGAGAAAGCTGCTCCTGGGTTTTCCCTCTAAAATGACAGTTGAGTTGAACTGTCCTAGATACCATATATCATTCATTGAAAACATAAAGAGGATTGGTGGAAAAAATATACCTCGGATAGTTTTACCTCAATATAGTTTTATAGATGTGCGCCTAGAGCTGCTTCTTCAGAAATTCTGTAAATTCAGAAATTCTGTAAAAGACTGAAAAGTGAAGACCGGAGCAGCTGCCTGTCATTAAGAAGCCCAAATTCCACCAGAATTTTGGGATTTTTCCTCAAGTTAGGTTTTATTTTGGATCAGAATAAAATAGTTACAGACAGACATGCTTCATAAAACACGTCTCACCTATCCCTCCACAGAAAACTGACCTGGTTAGAATGCAAAATGTAGAACCCAGATAAAACATGTAAACTTGATGTTTGGAATGGCCATACTGGAACTTGCGCAAAGATCCGTTTTAATTTAAAAAGCATATTTTCCTGTAGGTCCACCTCCAGATCAATTGGATTTGAACAAGTCATGCAATGGGAGATGGACTAGCAAAGTTTTGTGATCCATAATTTCATTTTCTGCTACCAATATGCACAGTATGGAATACTTTATATGTTCCTACTGTCCTTTAAAGTATTTGCATACAGTACAACAAATAAAACTCACCTGGAACAAAAATTCTTCCCCACCTGACCTAAGTAATGAAGTTCCTAAAGAAAAGATACAGTATGAAACTCAACTTCCAATTATAATGATTGATCTGGAGATTAATTTCATCTTAATTGTATTTCCCTTGTTGTGATTGATCATTACTGAAGAATTGCTTTTCTTCACTTGATCAGAGTGAATCTCTCGTGTTCAAATATGATGTTCCATACATTTGAGAAAACACCAGCACATTTGGCTCAAATAAAGGTTCACATCAGATATCCTATTTAATAGCATGGTTCTTGTTTACATCTGTGATAAATCAGTTAAATCACCTGAAGATCAGAAGAATGTTACTATCTATTTTCTAGTCTTCTAGCATTAAATTCATAATCGGGGAGTGGACTTAATCCTATCCACCTTGTCTACATCATATATTTATCCCATGTCCAAACTTACTTAACTCTTTGATACATCTGGTATGTGGCACAATATGGATTATCTTTTAATATGCAATAAAACTGAATTCAATTGCCTCTCTTTATAGTTTCTAAGCGAGGAACCAGGCTACAGTCAGCTGTCTTACAACCACAGTCTTCAAGAGTCTTTCAAAGAAATCATAGCCATCAAAATATTTCAAAAAGATTTTAATCCAAAAACTGTGACTAGATTTTGATGTATCTGAATTTCTCTTGCTGGGCAAAATGGCGGAGTTGTCCTGTAGGATTATTTTCTCTATGTCTAGACTGTTTATAAATAAAAAGAAAAGAAAGAGGAGAGAGGAAACCCTAGGAATACAGACAGGCCCTGCTGATTCTTAGGCCACAAAAGGCTGAGCAAGCTACAGTACTATACCAGTCTCTTTATTTTTTGTGAATTAATATTTAGGCTTCATTTCTGCAGCTTTATTGTATTTGAACTACACAAACTATGGACACACTCCAGCCAAGCTCCTACCAAATAAATGGGAACTTTAGTATAGCTTTCCTGTTCATCTCAGTTGGACTTATGTAGGAAGAAAATCAAGCTATAATAGGAAAACGTCTTTCTTCCCATCTAATTGGTTTCCTCCTCCTCCTCCTCCCCTCTTGTAATAACAGATGTAACACTACATTTCAAACAGCTTTCCGCCTTTCAGAGCTTCCATGTCTCTCTGTTCTTAAATTGTAATCATATCTTATAATATATAGCATGCCTGTGAAAAGAGTCACTGCTAGGAACAGCTTTGTGTACATATTTGCCAGAAAGACTTTCTTTTTTGTCATGCAAATGCTGTAATTATATTTTGAAACAGAAGAGCATTCCCCCTTGGCGCCGCAGTGGAAGAGATCTTTCTGAAACTCCTTTATGTATTCCAGGTCTCCCTCCTTTTCTCTCCTACTTTTTAGCTCCACTCAGGCTGCATTGTTGGGAGAAAGAAAGATGGAAAGATTGTATGTACGGTTCGCCTACCTCTAGCTACAGCTTAAGTATAAAAAGCGGAAAAAATGTCTGGAGAACACTAACTTTAATACATTTCAGATCCGGGCAGAGAGTGGATGGGGTTGGGGGAGGGATGTAATGTGCAGGTATAAATAAATTGATGCATTGCTCTTTTCTATGCCAAAGGCTTTCCTGAGCAGAGCTTAACCGGGACTGCTTTGGAGAATTGTAACATTATCTCAACCATAATCCACACACCCAAACAAAATCATTTTTTAAAGGAAGGGGGAGGAAGTTTTTAGAACTGGCACGGCTCCCACCATCATTAAACCCATCTTGCTGAAGAGAGGAATCCGGTGCCCTGAATTTTATGATTGAATCATTGCAGGATCGTTCACCTTTTCTCTCTTCCCTACCTCGGCTAAAGGCTGAGAGAGAGAGAAAGGGTGGCGAGGAGGCGATGCAAGAGGGAATCCAGCAAATCTGCCTCGGAGGGAAAGCGCACCAAGAGACCTGCTCTTGTTTTCTTCCCGCAGTTCTTCTTTCCACATATAAAGGGAGAGAGAGAGAGAGAGAGAGTTGCATATTGTTTCCATTTTCTTGTGTTTTTTTGGAATTTTATGTTATGACTTCAACCCGAGAGAGAAATCCCTGCCTAGTAGAGCAGGAAACATTGAGAAACCCCTTCCACAGATTTTTGGAAGAACTTCCAAGGAACGAATTGGAGACAGGCGTCCGGGAGAGACACAGCGGCGGAGATCTTGCCACTGATGCAACACACACAGGCGTGTGCAAGCAAACAAGAGCGCGCGCACAAAGACACACACACACACACAAGTCTGCTAGAAAACAGGGCTTTCTCAAAGTTTGGCAACTGCAAGCGGGGCGCCTTGCGGGCCCAGGCTGCCCAACCTCCTCGGATTGGCGTCCCGGGGACCAGCACAAAGCCTACCTGGGCTGTCCCGGATCTTTCTCGCGTAAATTCCCTAATAACACAGAGAGGGAGAGAGGGATGCATCCATCAGGAGAACCTTGGGGGTTGCTGGCGCGAACCACCCCTTCCGCGGAGACCCAGTTCCGAGGGCCGGCGGGACCAGGAACTTCGCTGACTTACCTTGGCGGTACCGTATACCTTGGGAGAGGGTGCCCCTTGGCAGCCCCAGCCCTTACCCCTGTCAGGCCGGCTGCTTGCTTGGGAAAAGGATATGGGTTGCACACCATCTTCAGGCACCAGCTCCTCGGGCGACTGTGCTGGCTCAGGTAGAAGAAGACGGTCGGGGCCAGGGCGGGATAAGGGAGCGCTTCCCCGTCCGAGTCCCCACTGCCCGGATCCTTCTCTTTGTCCCCGGAACCCGAGCGATCTCCATCTCCGGAGAGATCGTTAAGGCGGACGAAGGTTTTGGAGTGGGGATCCTCCTCGGGATCCTGCTCCTCGGCTCCTCTCGGAACATCCTCGTCCATCCTCCGGCCAGCAAACCCCGCTCCGAGCAAGTGGCAGAAGGAAAGATGCTGAGGGAAGCGGGAGCGCTAGTCAGGCGTCAAACCCCGCTGGCCATGGGCGGAGCAGGGGAACCGGGGGAGGTGGGGGGGGGAGAAACGGACTTCAAAACCGGCCGGGCGTCGTCCGCTCCCAGCCGGGCAGCTGCCTCCGTTCTTCTCGCCCCATTGGGATCCAGTCGGAACCGACTGGGTGCTTCTCGTCACTTTGCCGTCTTTTTCCCCCCCTCCCAGATCCCGAACCAGCCGGGAGTGGCGAATCCGAGGAGGAGGAGGAGGTGCGGTGGTCTGGGTGCCCCTGATGAGCAAAGCAGTCAGAAATGTGACGGTCTCTACCAGCTGCAGCGCCCGCAAGGAGAAGGTCCTCGCTTTTGGGTTGGGGGCGGCGGGTGGGTGGGTGGGGGAAGGCGCTGCCCTTTTCAAGTCCGACAGGGTTTCGAGGCTCCGCTGCCTCCTGGCTTCAGCCTCATTCTTCTGCGTCCTATCAGAGTCCGGGCAGAGGAAGCAGAGAAAAGGAGGTTCCCGGCGGCTCCCCCGGGGGGTTGAGCTCCTCCCGGCCAAGGGAATTACCGGAGGCGGGGTGGGGTAGAGAGAAGGCAAAGCCAGCGGAACCGAAGCTGCAGAACCGACGCTACGCCGCCTCCTCGCCGCCGCCGCCACCTCGGTCGGCCGGGAGACCCGAGCGGAAAGCTCAGCGCACCTCACAGCTGGATCCCTCTCACTCCAACTTCAAGCTGGAGCTCCACCTCGGAGCTGTGCCGCCCGCCAATCGGCGGTCGCCTTTGAGCCTCGCGGCTCCGCCCCTTCGGCCGCGGGAGGACGAGGGCGAGGAGACCCACCGCTGGAATCCGCCACAGTTCCGAAACCCCCCCCCCCTCTGCCTCGAGCCCGTGTGGGGCCGTGAAGAGCCAGTGGGGCAAGAGGGGGGCGGCCCACCCCACTCACCCCCACCCACCCCCACCCCCCCGCGCGCGGATCGGCCTTTAAAATAAGAGGGGGACGACGGCGGGTCCCGCCTGAAGCGCTCGCCGCCGCTTGCCAAGTTCACTCGTGGAGGGACTTCGATGCTCTTTGATGTCTCGCATCGGGACGGCTTTTCCCGCCGCCGCCCACCCCCGTACGGAGCGGAGGCGGGAGAAAGAGGGTCACAGCCCTCTTCAAAAACGAAGCAAACGAGGACAGCCGCGCTTCCAGGGCTTTCGAGGCGCGTTTTTGCTGAGAGGAGCCAAGAAGGATCCGGGGAAGCTTGAGCGCGCCCAAAAGCCGGCTGAGGAAGCCGAAAGAAGCCGGCGGAAGAAGGAAAAGCGGGCCGGAGCCCCCGTCCAAACAAGCGCGATATATAGAAGAGTTGCGCGCCTTTTCCCACCCCCGGTTCTCAGTCCCTCACAGACTAATCCAAGACCTGACGAGAAGAGAGAGACCCCGGCCGGCTGACCAAAGCGGCCAGAAAGAAAGGCGTTCTCGCCAGCAATTGGGAGCAATAGCCCTCTCTCGTCTGGCGGATCGGGATTCGTTCCCGATTTGAGGAAAGGATGCGGGATTCCCCCCTCCCCCCCTTTGGCTCTGCCGGACGAAGGAGAAGCAGCTAACCCCTCCTCTGGAGGTTGGCCATCCTTTCGGAAGCAATGGGGTCGTGACCCGTTATGCCCTGAGGGGAAAACATTTCCTCCTGGCTTGGACGCGCTTAGCCGCTTGTGCTGCTTAGGCGGAGAGCGAGTCGCCCCGGCGGCGGTCAAAGAAACGGAACCAGCGACGCCTGGAAACTGGGGCTCCCGGCGATGCAATAGGCAGCGTTGAAAAAGCACCTGCTGGAGGGAACAGAAACGGTTGAAGAAGTAGCTCCAGGATTCCCCTTTCTACACCATATTTCTCCTTTCTGCAGCGGAAGCCTTATTCAGTAAAGATGGAACAGCAAGATCAAGGCAGCAGGGAAGAGATAATACAGCAGCAGCACCAAAAAAAAAAAAAAGCACCGTTATGAATCTGAAGCTGTCACGGGGAAACTGAAGCATGCAAAATAACTTTACCTAATGATAACGGGCATACAATAAAATTCTGGGGAAATCTGAGTTTGAATGTGTGTGGTGTTTTGTTTTTTTTCCAGTCTAGTGCCAACGGCTCCAGCCTTCTCTTTCTTAGATGCATATATAAGTTGTTAATTCACACAATTTAGTGCACACTCAAGCATTCTGGGGCTAGCCAGTTCAGCTGCAAACACTTGTAGTTAAGAAAAATCAGCTGAGACTATATATAGTGTACCTCAAAGCCAGTAATTTGTTCCTTGTGCTCAAGGGAGTAAATTTGCACATCAACTTTTTCCTTGTTCAGTCGTGTCTGATTGTCAAGAGACTGCCTGGACAAGTCCCTGCAGTTTTATACAATACATGCAAAATGGCAGGCAGGCATTTTGGTCAGAACAGCATCCAGTGTTGGTTGTTTCTTCCCTTGTCTATTTTGCCACAGTTGTCTGATGCATGTATATCATTCAAAGAGATCAGTAAAAAACTTGGGTGCCTGTTATTTTCCTTTAAGTTGCCCCGTCCATGTTGCAAAAATCCCAATTACCACTAGGCAATAAGCCATAGTTAAAGTATCGGCTTTTGCATCTCTTTGTGCTGTTTTGTGGATTTGCGGATTTGTGCAGCTAGCTCTAGTGCTTCTAATTTTACTAGTATACTTCCTGCAATTGTGTGGGGTGGGGTGAGGAGAGAGACAGAGACTGGCAATCCATGATATGATAGGTTATGTGTGGCAGTTCATTGCCCACATAAAGGTCATTGCAATTTTTTGATGCCCTAAAGCAGAGGTCTCCAAACTTGGCAATTTTAAGACTTGTGGACTTCAACTCCCAGAATTCCTCAGCCAGCTGGCTGAGGAATTCTGGGAGTTGAAGTCCACAAGTCTTAAAGTTGCCAATTTTGGGGACTCCTGCCCTAAAGTGATAGGTGATTATTCTTGGTAATTACATCCAAGACATTTCGAGCTACTTTAGCTTGACAGGTGATGATGCTATTGGCCAAGCTTAACTGTTGCTGGAGATGGGCTCCCCATCCAAACAGGCTGACATCTGAGGTCAAGGTCAGGTGGCTGGGCTCCTTGAACAATGTCCCCCTGGCTATTGCTGGGGACACCCACCACCTGAGGGACCTAAAAATTAGAGTGCATTTACAGCCTTCTTTCTTTCTTTTTTTTGGTTTGTTGTTGTTGTTGTTGTTAGTTTCGAAGTTGTGTCCGACCCATCGTGACCCCATGGACAACACTCCTCCAGGCCTTCCTGTCCTCTACCATCTTCTGGAGTCCATTTAAGCTCACGCTCACTGCTTCAGTGACTCCATCCAGCCACCTCATTCTCTGCTGTCCCCTCCTTCTATTGCCCTCAATCATTCCCAGCATTAGGCTCTTCTCCAGTGAATCCTTCCTTCTCCTTAGGTGGCCAAAGTATTTGAGTTTCATCTTCAGGATCTGGCCTTCTAAAGAGCAGTCAGGGTTGATCTCCTCTAGGACAGACCAATGTCCATGTCTTAGCTTGGTTTGAGCAGTTTATAGCAAGCTAAAGAGTAAGCTTGATATTAGAATCTCAACCAGATTGTATGCTGATGTTTTTTTTCCTATTAAGAATGACAACAAAAGGAGGTTTACCTGCAATCCACAACAGTGAAGTAACTTGTATATTACTGGGTATCTGCTTCATATATAACTGTGGGGATGGCTAGTTGTCTCCAATATAACATAAATACTTTCAATGGAGCTGGATTCCTGGTGACTATAGTTTTATTGACAAAGTTAGGGGATTAGTGTGGTGTTCCAATTTCAAAACCCTCCAGAATTTTTTTTCTCCCCCAACTTCCCTGTCTAGCCTATAGCCTCCAAGTTGTAGTTGTCCTCCATCCAAATATTAACCAGGGATAATCCTGTATGGCTTACAAGATCAGTCGCGATCAGCCAGGTACTGCCTTCTACCAAGGTTCATCTTACAAGTATTTCATCTATGATCCTGGGATCTTGAAGGAAAGATATGGGAAAATGTAAAATATCAGATGTATTAATTAAGTAGGGATACGTTGTAATTGGTGGGAGAAAAGAATAGCAAAGTTTGGGAAAGCCAAAATCTTGTTGCTTGTTTTGATTCAGCAATGCCTCCTTTCCCTGTTTTGTTGCTTTTAGTCTTAATTGTTTCATTCTGTGGCTAAAAGAGGACTGGATGGGGGGTGGGATTAAGTGATGAACAGAAAGGGGGAGGTTCTCTAAAAAGGAATAGCAAGAAAAAAATAGATATTTAAAGGCTCAGAACAAGAGAATTGCTTTTAAAAAATATATCCAATCTGGGGAGATTTAGAGAATCAAGTCCAAAGTAATAAGCAGATCACCCAGCTGGTGTTTTGTTCTTTCTGAATAGACGGGCAAGAAAGGGACAATAAAGGGTAATCTATTCAGTCAAGTGGAGTTGCAGAAAACTGTCTCATCTGCTTATTGAAGGAAACTTTTCACTGGCTGTTTGGGAGTTCTGATATGAGCCTCTCACTTGGAATCTGCCAAGTTTCTAGTCTCATCTGAGACCCAGTTTGGTGTGGTAGTTAAGGTGTGGGCTTACAAAACTGAGATTGTGAAAAGCTGGTTAGGTGACTTTGGGTTAGTCTGACCCACTTCCAAGAGTGCAGAAAACAAGAGGCAGGAAAATAATGTATGTCACCTTGGACTGTATGTACAAAATAAAGGCGGGATGTGAATACAATAATGCA